GTAAATGTGATTTACATGTTGCTATAATGGGATTATATTTTGTTAGCAGTTTATATCCCATTGCATTCTGCCAGAAAAAGATGAACATTTTTTTCCAGGTAATGAAAACGTTTCTCAAGACATAGTATATGATGCTCAGGGTGTTCTTTCCTTGATACAGCATTACCTATTCAAACCACACGCAGTGTTCGGATATGGTCATTTTCCCTATTTTTATTGTTATCAATGGCACCCTGGTAAATGTTTACTGGCCTGCATGACTGCAAGTATGTATATTGATTGTATTCTTAGGAAGAAATTAAATATATATATATATATATTTTTTTTTGAGACAGAGTCTCACTGTGTCACTCTTGGTAGAGTGCTGTGGCATCATAGCTCAGAACAACCTGCAACTTGTAGCCTCAAGTGATTCTCTTGCCTCAGCCTCCCTTTAGCTGGGAGTACAGGAACCTGCCACAACCCTGCGTATTTTTTAGAGACACATTCTGGCTTTTGTTAAGATTGGTCTCGAATCCATTAGCTCAGGAAACCCCCCACCTTGGCCTCCCAGGGTGCTAAGATTACAGGCCTGAGCCACCACACCCACCAGAAATAAAACATCCTGACAAAGGAAGGTGTATCTCCATGAGGGCAGGGGAGAGTCTTGGGCCAGTTCTTCCAGATCAAGTAAAGACACCACCTGCCATGGCTCAGAGGCTCCTCTGTTGCTCCTCCCTGAGGTCTATAGCTGGGAAGGTCTGCTGCCTTTCAATCCTTGGGATGGTGTGTCTGCATCTTCCAAGAGATTGTCCCAGAGTGGAGTGAACACGGGACTGCAGGGCAAGGAGCTAGGTGGCCTTCTGGTGGGTGGGAGGAGGTGACAAGTTGTGGCAGGGGATGGAGTCTGTGTGCTGGGTGGTGGGGTGGTGAAGCCTTGTCTTCTCCCCAAAGTCTGCCCATTGGAATTTCCCTTAACTTCCTGTTTGAATGTTCCTCAGTTTTCAGGAAGTTCCAGGGCCAGTGTCCAGAGACCAAATGCAGGCTGTTCTCCAAGTTCTTTCCCACAAAGGATTTTATGTCTGTTCTTCCCAACCAAACTCCACCCGGATTTTAGCCATGTCTCTTCTCCTTTTCTCTTTCTCTCTTCCCCTCCTCCCCGTCTTCCTCACTCTCTGGATCTCCTCTCCCTTTTCCCACCAACAGACAGATGTTGAGCAGTCACTGTGTCAGCTTTCCAGAAAACCAGGACATGCAGGTGAATGTGTATGATGTTGCAAGGGGCACATAAATGAGCAATTAACCAAATACGTGTCATCGTGTTTCCTGACTAATGGAAGCATGGTATTTCCTCCACATCAGGTCCCACAGTGATCAAATGTGGGGTCAATGCTTGCTGTCTACCAGGCTGTGGAGAATAAAGGAAGCAGAAAAGCATGGGTGCCGTCCCCAGTCCCGTCGGGGCAGCGTCTAAGCCCACAGATGTTGTGTTGAGATTTGTTCTGTCTCACTGTCCCTCCCAGGACACACCACAGTGCTCTCACTCGACTGGGATGTGAGCTTGAACCTAACCGTGTCCAACTGTACAGGCTCAACACAGTGTTGCTCTCATCTCCCTCTGTCCCCAGGACTCTGGGGCCTGGTGAATAACGCTGGCATCTCCCAGTCTGCGGCCCCCAACCAGTGGCTCACAAAACAGGACTTTGTAACCATACTGAATGTGAACCTGCTGGGGGTGATCGAGGTGACTCTGGGCCTGCTGCCCTTAGTGAGGAAGGCCAGGGGCCGCGTGGTCAACGTCTCCAGTATCCTGGGCCGGGTCTCACTTTTTGGTGGTGGCTATTGTATCTCCAAGTATGGCATCGAGGCCTTCTCGGACTCACTCAGGTATCACACTGGGCTGGGGCCTGGCCTAGGTCTTATTTCTGTTCTTCTTCGGGAGCATTTTTCAGGAGTTTGATTTAATCATAGCCTTAGAGGCTCCTTGTTCAAGATTCTTCTGTCAGGCTCCGTGGTCCTACACTTCCCTGGATTTAGCCAGCCATGCCTTGGGACCTTCAGTCCATGTTCTGGTAGAGAGAGGGGCCTGGAGCCTAAGAACCCATATAATGCAGGTCTGAGTCTTTTGAGAAGGGCCCATAGACAGGACATGTCTGAAACAGATAGGAACAGGGATACTTTGGGTGCAGAGCCCATGTCCACGACCAATATGACACTAGGATACACCGGCCCTTCAAGATGGTTTTAGCCTCTGACTCAGTGCCAAGGACAGCAGGGGACAGTAGTGGGAACGTGAAATCAGCACACCTTAGGACAACAGGGTTTGGTCCTTGACCTAGAAACTTGGACAGCTGGGAGGCAGAGGGACAAGAGATGCAGGGGTTGTGACCGAGTAGGACATGCTGGCTGGGGGCCCTCCCATATTTGCGGAGGGTCCCTGATGTGTGGTGAGAGCTGAGACCTGGAGAGCTGCACCTGGCAGCCTGTGAAAGAGGGTGGGCAGGGCTCCTGCATGACAGGATGTCATTACCCCAGACCCACGGTAAGCAGGCACCGACCTCGGTGTGACAGGGTCCTCCTGGGCCGGACAAGCCCAAGTCCAGCACAGGGAGATAGGCAGGTGGGTGAAGCTAGGCCCTGGATGCCTTTGACCCTGCACATGGGCCAGAAATCATGCTCTTGCTGTGAAACCCATGGCAGTGGGTACTCAGGGTGGCTGCTTGGTCTATCGGGCATTCAGATGCCCCCTGGGTGCAGGGAGCAGAGTGGTATGTGTGGATGCAGGACTGAAGGCCAAGGGATGCTCCTCAGAAGACAGCTGCAGTAGCCCTGCTGAGACAGGCCCAGGGAATTTCCTGTGGCAGGAGCAGGAAGAAGGGGCTGAGGAGCACAGAGGGCACAATGGGGGAATCATGTTGATGACAAGATGTGATGGGCATGGGGTGTAGCCCTGCAGTGGTACCTTGCAGTGGAATACAGGGGCTTCCTGGGCAATGTGTAAAATATGTCAACCCTTCACAGAGGCAAAATCAATTTCTCTCTCTCTCTCTTTTTTTTTCTGGGAAAGATGATCATTCTCTTGCCCAGGCTAGAAGGCCATGGCATCATCCCAGCTCACAATGACCTCAAACTCCTGAGTTCAAGTGATCTTCCTTGCCTGAGGCTCTCAATACTAAAGTGACAGGTCCTCACCACAACACCTGCCCAATTTTCCTAGTTCAGTACAGATGGGGGGTGG